GTCACAAAATCCTTTTATCCTACTTATAATGCGCCCGAAAGAATGGAGGTACCAATTAAAACCATTCAACTTCCACTTCCAAAGAAGAGGGGGAGAAGTACGGCCGCTCCTAAGGATAATGCTCCAAGTAAGCGTCCGAGGATACCGAGGACAATATCCTCCAAATCAGTAAATCCAAGCCAACCTCAAGTTGGTAGACACCCAAAATAGATGAGCATCCAAAACCCGGATCAAAATCCACCCGGATCAACGGTGCACCCAAATTCTGATCCTAGGACATTGGAACACCCTGACTCCATATGGGAAATGACTCGGAGTCCAAAAGGGTTAACATTTTCACATGCTATATTGATTTCAAGAACCGAATCAATCATTTAAAGACTACAAATTGTCGCGGCATATACTCCTCAAAGATTGATTTTTTACCTTACTAGATCCAGACCAAAAGTCCTAAGCAGAGTGTCTTCACACTCAAATTTGGTCAAACTAAAAGGTGGCAATTAAGGAGATTGCTCTTGTTTAATGATGAGAAGTATTACCATAGTAATATCTTCCCTCGTAGAGTTTTTTTTTCAGAAGCAAGGTGGTGAACATTGAGAGCTTGTAGCATATGGTTTCACGCAGTGACCCAGCATATCATACCCCATGATATGTGTGAAAGTGAAGTTTTCTAAATTCAATAATTGGCATATAAAATGAATTTGATAGATTCGGACGTATAAGTCCCAATGGACTTCATATTCTGAATCCAAATACAAATCGCAACATACATTGTGTATAATTAAACATGATTGCGTATATTGGTTATTTTGATATCATCATGATACAAAAATAATTATGCAATCATTTGAGATACAATTTCCATCATATGGATTCGAGATGGAGGATTTGGGTAAGACCAAATATTACCTAGGCTTACAACTTGAGCACCGTCCTTCAGGGATTTTAGTGCATCAATCAGCCTATATCCAAAAAATATTGGAGAAAAGATATTGGGACCAAGGTTCCATATCTTAGTGTCATTGGAGCACTTATGTATCTTGCAAATTGCACTAAGCCTGATATCGCATTTGCAGTGAACATACTAGTTAGACATAGTGCAAATCCAACTCATCGTCATTAGACGGGAGCGAAGCATATCCTCAGATATCTTAGTGGCACAAAGGATCTTGGTTTATTCTTTAAGAGAAATCATGATCCTAATATGATTGGATACACGGATGCTGGTTACTTATCTGGTCCCCATGCCAAACTGGATTTGTATTCTTACATGGAGGTACAGTTATTTCATGAAGTCTTCTAAACAGACTTTGACGGCGACCTCTACTAATCATTCTGAAATTATTGCTCTATACGAGGCATCACATGAATGTGTATGACTTCGCAGAATGATTAACCACATACAACTGGCATGTGGTATTGGTTCGATTAAATCACCTACAATTATCTATGAAGATAATTCCGCTTGTGTTATACAGATGCAATCGGGTTACATAAAGAGCAATATTACTAAGCATATTGTTCCTAAACTGTTTTATCCCCATGAATTACAAGAAAACAGGAAAATAAACATCTTGCAAATTAAGTCATGTGATAATCTCACTGATCTATTTACTAAGTCCTTACCAACTTCTATGTTTTAAAAATTGGTACATGGAATTGGTATGCGGTGACTTCGAGATTTGCAAGAATCAGGGGGAGACATCTCCTAAATGTTGACCTGTACCAGCATCATATTATACTCTTTTCTTTCACAAGTTTTACTTATAAGGTTTCTTGTTAAAGTTTTTAATGAGGTAATATTAACATAAGCATGTGTCATATTTCCTATTTTCCCCACCGGGGTTTTTGTGGGAAATATCAAAGACACATATTGCCCTCACAACTCATCCATGGTTTTTCCATGAAAAGGTTTTTCATGTGAGTTATCCAAGAGGCAATACCAATAATATGTCGTCATATTTTCTCCTAATTTTCCCACTGGATTTTTACAGGAGTTTTAACGACATATCACTTTATATATGCTATTTTCTTCTTATTTTCCAATAAGGTTTAAAGGAGTTTTTATGGCATATCATATATTCCTCAGATTTTTTTCCATAAGGTTTTTCGAGGAATTTCAGCTTACAGCTGCATTGATTTCAAAGAAGATTCGATCAAGGAGGAGTGTTGTGAAACGACACCTATACGCGAACGGACGTCTACAGACGAACATGCGTCTCTTCACGAGTGATCTCATCCATCAAGCACAGGATTAGTGGATATGATTAGACAGTTAATTTTAGTTGCAAAGGACATCTCTTTTGGGAACAGTCGTGTCCCTTCGTGACACCCTCCACTTGTATAAATATATTTCTAAGATCAATGAAAGCAACCGTTCTTCCAGATCTTATTCATTTACGTTCACACTTTAACAGGCTCTAGCTGATCGGCATGACTGCGACAGGCTTAAACATGATTCCATCCATTTCATGGCATCGTCTGCAGATAAAAGTGAAATGGGTGATGATGTGGCTATAGAAGCATTGGAGAAGATAATGTAGGTTCCGGCGAAATACAGTGTCCCCATTTTAACATAATCTGGTTGGTTTGTTGTAACTTCTTGAATCATATGAAGAGTTTGGAAGTAGATTCATATATGCTGGTATTAGTCCCAAGCGCAATGTCTGCACTTTAGTGTGTTCATGTAGAAAGAGGAAGATAGAAATACAGGACTAATGAAATTATACACTGCAAAAGCTTTATAAGCTGCAATGGATCAGTTCCAAAATATTCATGATATCTACCAATTAAATTTGCATAAGCTTTTCAAAATGATAGGAACAAAGAAGCAAAAAAATAGTTTTTGATCTGGTTTCAATTCAGAAGCAGAAACATGTATTGATCTGATGGAGTAAAACATTGGAGAATCCCATCATTGTACACTGTAGATGACAATAATGTAGGAGGAATTCTTAATTTTAATGGTTGACTATTTAAGATAAGTTCTCACTTTATGTAAAGTTATGGACATTCTTAACTAGAGTAAGTCCTCCCAAAAAAAAGGAAGTACTACACAGGCAACCTTCTAGTTGTTAAGAAAATTTATGAAAATCCTATCAGTTTAAAAATCATTGAACATTTTAAATTGAGGATAATATATGGTATAGCACCATGATCGACATCATCTTAATTATTCAGTCTAGATTTATGCAGCATATGTGTTAAATTTGGCATAGACAGTGACATTAAAATACTAATTTCCACTTGTAATGTTAATAATCGAAAATACAATACAAATTTTTTTTGCCTTCACAGTTAAATGAGTAGTACTATGGAAAGCTTTAACTTTGCAGAAACAAAACTAAAAGAGGAGTCAAAACTTGAAATTGAGGGTGTCACTCCAAGAACAGAAGACGCAGTGACAGGAACAAGTGTTGGGACAACTAATAACTCTGATACCAAGAGTGTTGTACATTATATCAACAGCCACAAAACAGGATAAAGATGTTAGAATTGATATGCTGATTAATCCCTCATTGCGAAATATAGTGCCCCAATTTTAACATAATCTGGTTGATTTCTTGTAACTTCTTGAATCATATGAACAGTTTGGAAGTAGATTCATATATGCTGGTAATAGTCCCAAACGCAATGTCTGCACTTTAGTGTGTTCATGTGGAAAGAGGAAGGTACAAATACAGGACTAATGAAATTATACACTGCAAAAACTTTATAAGCTGCAATCAGTTCCAAAATCTTCATGATATCTACCCATAAAATTTGCATAAGCTTTTAAAATTGATAGGAACAAAGAAGCAAAGAATATATATTTTGATCAGGTTTCAATTGAGAAGCAGAAAATTGTATTGATCTGATGGAGTAAAACAGTGGAGAGTTCCATAATTGTAGACTGTAGATGGAAATAATTAATGTAGGATGAATTCCTTAATTTCAATGGTTAACTATTTAATGAAAGTTCTTACTTTATGTGATGTTGTGGACATTCTTAACTAGAGTAAGTCTTCTCAATAATAAAGAAAGTACTCTGCTGACAACCTTCTAGTTCTAAAGTTATGAAAATCCTACCTGTTTAAGAATCAATAAGCATTTTAAATTGAGGACAGTATAGGGCATAGCACCATGATCAACATCATCTTAATTATTCAGGCTAGATGTATACAGTATATATGTTAAATTTGGCATAGACAGTGACATTAAAATACTAATTTCCACATGTAATTTTAATAATCGAAAATACAATAAAATTTCCTTTTGCCTTCACAGTTAGATGAATACTCAATCCATTCCAAATTGTAAGACGTTTGACTTTTTTGACACCAAGTTTGACCACTCGTCTTATTCAAAAATTTGTGTAAAATATCACTTCTTTCGTCGTGGTTTGGTTTATTAATAAAAATTCTTCAAGAATGACTTAAATTTGACTATATTTGCACAAATTTTTTGAATAAGACGAGTGGTCAAACTTGAGGCCAAAAAAGTCCAACGTCTTACAATTTGGGATGGAGGGAGTACTATGGAAAGCTTTAACTTTGCAAAAACAAAACTAAACTAAAAGAGGAGTCAAAACTTGAAATTGAGGATGTATCACTATCAGAACAGAAGATGCAGTGCACAGGAACAAGTGTTAGGACTTAGGAACAACTCTGGTACCAAGAGTGTTGTACTAGATTTCAACAGCCATAAAACAGAATAATCATGTTAGAATTGATATGCTGATTAATCTCTCGTAAATAGCATCGATACATGCCTTTGTTTCATTAGTTTGATGTAATGGCCAGTTGTCATGATGATGGCACCAACCGCCACAAAAACAAGATTAAATTCTCAGTAAACTGAAATCTGATGTTAGATAGACAGGTCTTTTGACAGGACATTTACAAAGAAAGTAAACATCTCAACAGTAAATATACCCATCACTCCAACATCAAGTTGTCCTGACATTTTACAAAGGAAACTGGTTTGAAGTGGTTTCAGTCTATGCAGAATTGCAGATAGCACTAGACCCGGGGAAACTTGCTTGACTTCTCCAATACCTCCAGCAAAACTGAAGGGCACGATCTTTTTAGGTGAGCATAGCCTTGGCTTGCCACCACATCATCAATCTTATTTGAGAAGGCAATAAACTCAATGCAAGCATCTTTTAGGATGCATAAGTTGTGCTGCTCAGCAAATGCCAAGGTAGTGGCAACAGAATCCACGCTAAGGCTGTTGCAGAGGCTGTCTTTACACATCAACTTCAGCCTCTTCATTTCATACTGATCTGCAGCCACCAGCAAATGCCGAATCATTTCTTGCCTATCAACATCGCCAAAAGCATCCATATCAGGCAACGAGTCAGTGTAGATGAAATGGAGCATGGCTTTAAAAACAGCAGGCCGCACATCCTCAACAGCAATGCAACCCAAATTCTCCTCCATCTCAGGCCCATAGAATTTTGCCTTGAACACCGGTGACCGCATAGCGAGCACGATCTTGTGGGCACAAATAACCTCTCCCTGAACCTTGAAAGTCACATCAGATGTGTCATCCTCTAAAAACAAACTGCCAAGATGCAACGATAGGTCCGAAGGCGGCTCCTTGAACACAGGGACATTCTTGGTTTCAGACACCTTTGGTTCTTTGACGACAGTGACCGCGCACTCGATGGTGAGGCCATCATCTTGGGCATACATTAACAGATTCCACCTGAAAGTGCTGACTTTCGCGCGCTTATTCACAGATCTAGCTTTGTAATTCATAGAGCACACCTGCCACTTGGGGGACGCCTTCCCGGTGGCCTGGTTGAGGAACCTGAAGTGGCACGACGCCTTCGCCACGACGTCCTTGGTCAGCCGCTCAAGGAGCAGCACCAGCGCGCCGCCCTCGCCCCCGTCGGGGAAGAAGCGGACGGCCCAGTCGTAGCCGCCGACGGAGAAGGGCGCGGAGCGGACGAAACTCCCGGGGCCCAGGCGCTCGTGGAGGCTGTAGCCCGCGATGTGGAACAGGTGCGTGCCCTGCGACGCCTCCACGGTGCAGATCGACGTGGTCATCGGCGGCTGCGGCGTAGGCTGCGGCTTTGACGGCGGCCCCATCTTGTCCCTGAAGAAGGGAATCGAGATGTCGGCGAGGCGGCGGCGGCAGCAGCAAATATCGGTGAGCCCATGGAATCAGCGGAGAAAAAGTCATGTCAGCGCCCTCGACTTTCGCAAAAATCCATTTTTTTTCTCTCCCAACTTTAAAATCGGGTAAAACACCTCCTCAACTTTTATAACCGTATATCTTTCCCCTCTAACTTTTTTATTTATTTCGACTAAATCTTTAAAAAATTATAGTAAATCACAGAAAAAATTATAAAATAAAAATCCAATTTTATTGAACTTCGCGTAGGTAGATCTCCACAGTAAACATATAATATAGTATGCTTTAGTACCAAGCTTTTGCTGTGGCTTTAGATCTATATTTTTTTAATTAAATGAAATAATTCATAGCTGCAGTTTCTATGGTCAATTATGGTGAGATTTTTATGGTGGGCTAATTTATTGTATGTCTAAACTGTAGTAAAAATTTCATACTCATTGGATCATGTATAACTTAGTTATAAATTTTATTTAGGTTTATGCTTGTTAAATATAAATAAATCTATAACTGAGCTATACACGATGGAATGAGTATGAAATTTTTACTATAGTTCAATCATATAATAATTAGCCTACTATGAAAATTTCATCACAATTAGACCATAGAACTGCAGCTATGGATTATTCCAATTAATTACATAAAAGTATAAATCTAAAGTCACAGCAAAAACTTTGTACTAAAGAATATCATATTATATGTTCACTATGTAGATCTATTCATATGGAGTCCAACAAAATTAGATTTTCCATTTTATGATTTTTTTTATTTACTATGATTTTTCAAAGATTCAGACGAAATAAATAAAAAAAAGAAAAAACAAAACCGCCTTCAAAACTACTTATAATAGGGCTAGAGAGGTAAGATGACCGGTTTTAAAAGTTGAGGGGGATGTTTTGCCCTGTTTTGGAGTTTAGGGAGGAAAAAAGAACTTTCGCAAAAGTTGAAGGAGGTAATATGGATTTTTTCCGATCAGCGGGGCTTATTTAACAAAGATGTGCTTGTATGGGCCGCGACCGACTCTGCGGTGGGCTAGTGGCCTTCTCCCATTTCGGGCCATGGAAGTGTGCTTCTTCTTTGGCTAAATCACCCTACTTCCTAATTATTTTGTGATTTAAGGTCCTCTACTCCCATTGATCCAGCCTCATGTCGTGTGGTAGCAACAGCAGTTAATTGGAATATAAGGATCCTAACGGATGGAGTTTTTATTATGGGATTCAAACAACACCTTTTTTTAAGGGAAACCGGAGCTTCATATATTAAGCATAAGCAGGGTTACAATCATTGTCTACGTTATCCAGTAATCCATGTGGGGTTATAAACCACTCCTCGAGCACACTCATAAACTACCTTATTACAAATTCTATTACCCCTGTTTGGATGTAGATATTGGGCCTCTAGATTTGGAATTGGTATTGTGAAGCTGCCAATTCCACTGTTTGGATGGTTAAAAATTCGGAGTTGGAATTTGAACCCAATACCAATTAGTATTGGCTATACCTGCCCCTTCTAATCTCCAAAACCGAGCCCCAAGGCTTTGTATCATTTGGCATTCGTCCCCCGCCCCGACCCCGACGTAGAGGCCAGACGTGCAGGCCGCCCTCGACCCCGACACGGAGGTCGCCCCGACCCGACGCGGAGGCCGCCCCCGACCTAGCCGCCCTGGACCCTGACGCGGAGGGCGCCCCGACCCGCCGCCCCCAACTCGACATAGAGGCCCGACGCGCAGGAGACCTCTTCTCTTCTTCCCCTACGCCTCTTCTTCTCCATTGTCGGCGGCACCCCTTCTTCTCCATGGCTGGCGGCGCCCCTTCTTCTCTATGGCCGGCGAGCTCCTCTTCCTCTTCTCCATGCCCGGCGACCTCCTCTTCCTCTTCTCCATGGCCGGCGGCGCGAGATCTGCTTCCTCTTCCCCATGGATGCCGCCGTGAGCTCCTCTTCCTCTTCCCCATGCCCGGCAACCTCCTCTTCCTCTTCCTCTTCTTCATGGCCGGCGGCGTGAGATCTGCTACCTCTTCCCCATGGACGGCGACATGACCTCTCTTCCTCTCCCCCATGTATTACGGCTCGTGATCCACCATGTTGGCCGGGGTCGAGGTGCCCTCGTCGTTGCCGGGGTCGAGCTCTCCCATGGCCGCAGTTGAACTCCCCTGCCGTGGCCCAACATTTCAATTCCATTCTTTTGTATCCAAACAGAAAATGGTATTGAGCTACTTGCTAGGATTCCAAAAGCCAATTCAATGATCATCCAAACAATAGTATTCGAATTGTGACCATTTCAATACTATGGTTGCTTTGATATTGAACCCAATTCAATTCCAGCTCCCCCAATATCTACATCCAAACGGACCCTTAACGAAAAGAAATTTAAAACCCTCGAGGCTTCAGCTAAGATCATCCATCAGCTGCAGAAAGAGGTCAATCTCTGATTTTTGACAGGATCGCTTCTCCCACAGGTTAACAAGGACTTGGCAATCTGTCTCAAGCTACGGTCGCCGCACACCACGTTTCCGCACAAGCTACGGAGCCCGGATTCAAACAACACCTTTGACTAAATTAGTTTCTAGTCATTTTTACTGAAGAGGCAAGGACCGGGCTGCATGTGTACCGGTTGCTGCCACAAACCAAAGGAAAGATAGTGTTAGGTGATCTTTGTTTCTTTGATCTGCTCCATAATTTTTTCCTCCCAGTTCAAGGATTGGTTCTTGTGTTTCGAATGGTTTGGACTATGAGCCATTTCTAATGCGTATTTGTGTTGAATTCTAACTTATTTTATTCTCAAGCTTTCCTATCTCATACGATTGTACATATCTATACAGATTCATGGAATAGTACTATGCAGAATCAGGATCTCATTGTGTTTACCCTATCTATGAGTGAAGGTGAATTAGATAACATAAAAAACAATAGTCCATAAAACTTGCTCAAAATTTATGCAAGATATCTATCTAGATATGTACTACGGTTTTGCTAAGTATTGCTATCTTTAACGTAAAAGAGTTATGCAACATACATCCTAATCCTGTCAACTAACGTAGCAAATTAGACTAGCAAGATAAGCACACAACCTAGAGAAATAAGTAAATGCGGAATGCGGAATTTTAAATGAGTCAGAGAAGCAAACTTTCGATGATGATATTTTTTCCGTGGTACACACAAGCTCACGCTTCCCTCCAAATCCTCATTAGAGCTCATTGCAAAGATGCCCTCTCAAAGACCAAGATCCAAGTAAAAATAATAATCCTACATATCTGTTCCCTTGTTTCTTTTCTTCTTCAGTCCACATACATTTGTCTATTTCTATGACTTTTTCTTTCGACCGTGTCTCACTTTCATGTAGGAGTTACTAGGTTGACAACTCTATAGTGTTGTGCGAAGTGTTACATCGATACCATCTCCAATGCCTATGCAACGGTTCCATCTTTGAAGTCAGTGGTTGATCTTCTCTCCCTCTTCATACATCATATATGGGTGGGCCACGACGATATAGCTCCATCTATATATGCATGGGAAGAGATGACTACCGACACCTACCACAAAATCATAGTGCCATCGCCATGAAGACGCCTTGGCAGCCTAGTAGATCAATGCCTCTATGAACCTTTATTTTCTTTTACTTTTGATCAACAAAGACGCAAAAGCCTAGTGAGAGCATCTCTAGCAATTCCTCTTTTCCTACCCCCAATATAAAAAACTGCCCATATTAGGGATAGAGGGATTATTTAGCTGCTTCATTAATACCCTGATACCAACCCTTTTATTGGTAGCCACCAAAAATCGATTCATCTCCTCTCAAATAAGAGGCAGTGGCGGAGCCAGGATTTATACTCAGGGGGGGCCAGCCGTTAGGAATTATACTTAGGGGGGGCCGGCTCGGTCTTTTCTATTGTGATAATTTTATTATCTAGTTGTGTTTTGTATAATTATATTATCTAGAAGATATTAATAGGTATATATGACAAGAATTTTATATAATCTTCCTCTTAATATAAATAAAAAATATTAAGTCATACTACTATTTTTTGTTGTTGTAAAACATTGGGGGGGGGGGGCCATGGCCCCTGCCAGCCCCCCCTTGGCTCCGCCAGTGATAAGAGGGGAGATACAACTCCCCAGTATACTGATGTGCAGCCGAAGTACCACGGACATGATTTTTCCACCCTTCACTCCTGCTTCGCAACTCTCTGCACACTGTCCAAGCTGCCGGTGCGCCACTGCGCACATTTTGGCTCCAACCTCGTGCAACCCACGCGAGCATGATGAAGGGTGCTGTTGTCAAGCTCAAAGAAGAGCTAGACTCGCAGTCGGAAGAGAGAAGAGGAGACAGGGGTAGGAGAGGGAGTCGTCGGATAGAATCGGGAGGCTTCCGTGGCCATCGTCAAGGATGAGGAAGAAACGTCGCGGCCCTCTGCTCTGGGAAGAAAGCGACGACCACAGAGAGATGGGGCTCGGGGAGATTATGGGAAGAGAAGAGATCTGAGCTGAGCACCGGCGTCAATGGAGTTGGGCAGTCCGCGACAGCTCTGACATAACAAGGGCCAGGCTTGGCGCAAGGAAGGAGGTCGCGAGGGAGAGAGAAGGACAAGAAAGGCGTACAACCAAACTAGTACAGAGAGATGGGAGATGGACCCCATAGGTATATGTATATTGGGGTTGATGTATCGTTGATCTGCTTTAATAATTCTTCTAAGAATCTGAAAAAATTAGTATTAGTGGTAACCAATCCTGCCGTATTAGCGATGGATTATTTGTGAGGTTCTTAAGATGAGATGCTATGATGGCGAGCGAGTTGCATGACAACATGAGAGGACCGTTGTGGCCTAGGGGCGTGCGTGATCTGGCTAAGTACTAGTGTGAGGGTCCACTTGTCAGCACCGATTGACAAGGCTGGGAGCAGACAGCAGAGCACACACGACGAGGGACAGAGTATGCATTTTTAGTATATAGGAGGTATAAG